AGTATCTTGGTATCCTGGCCACCGAGGGAGAGAAGAGGGGGCCTTCGGGCTGCAGTGTTTGGCTCATGTAGGCAGGCACTCAGAACCTTAGTTCACGCGCCCCACGTCTGCTGAAAACTTGTAGTGTTGCGGGTGTTGGTCTAGGCTTTAGGATGTGTTGTTGGTAAGCAGGCCTGTTCCAGCTCTCATGCAGCTTATTGTCTGCCCGCTAAAACAGTCGGGAACCAAATAAATGAATAATGGGGTGGCTAAAACTTAGATAAAGACAGCTGAGGAAAAGTGCACTTCGGGAAAACATTATGGAACCCATCTAGCCTAGAGGGATCCAGGGAGGCTTCCTGGAGGAAGTGACACTAGAGCAGATGAGGCATGTGCAAAGACCCTGAGGGGGAAGCATGCTGGCTTGTCTGAGCATCTGGAAGGCCAGTGTGGAGGGGCTGGGGAACAAGGGAGAGTGGTTGTAGGAGGGAGCAGGGCCCAGGTCACAGGCTGAGCTTCAGCCAAGTGATCTCAGGCATCAGTGCCAGGGGCTTGAGTACTTTCCTGGGGCCCTGCCTCTGTTTCCTCCCCCTGTTTACCCAAGGCCCCCAGTTGGTGGGTGACAGAGTGTTTCAGGGTAGTTAAAATAGCACCCCTTTCTAGGGCAGTTGTGAAGATGAAAGGGGGGAGGACAGGGGCAGATCTCCAGGCCCCTCCTCCCCTACTCACCCCATCAGGGCTGCTATAGTGGGAAGTGGTGGGGTGTTGGGACCCCATTGCTTTTGAGTAGGTTGGGTAGGGGGGCTTAGGTGCACTGGAGGTCAGAGCAAAATGCCTGTGGGGAGTTTGGGTCCAGGAGGAGGGGGTGCTGGGCTGGGCCTCGGAGGACACTAGGAACTTGATCGTGTCCTGGGCTCCAGGCAGTGGAGGTGGGAGGGAGACAGGCAGTGGGGTGCGGGCCAGGTGGCAGTGAGTGACCTGGCTTTGATGGTGTGAGCAGAGAGGCGCCATCCAGGCCTGCCAGGGGGTGGGAGGGGGCTGAGGCTGTGTTTCCGTGGGGTGGACGTCAGTAGCCACAGCGGTGTAGGGAGGGACAGATGCTGCGGGGAACCCACAGAACTCCCACCTTCCCCTGCAGAGAAGCGGGTCCTCCTGGTGAAGGAGCTTCAGGGCCTGACAGTGGCCCAGCGGGACCATGTGCTCCGGGGGATGCCGCTGAGCCTGGCTGAGAAACGCTGCCTGCGGTCAGTGTCCCTCGGCCTCTTGAGGCCCCCAGACCCACTTCCTCAGCTGGGTTGGGTGGTTGGCAAGAAGGGCCCCGAGCCTGCGGTGGGTGGTCCCTGGGAGGGAGGGGCATCCCTCCCTGGTCCAGACCCTGACACTGCCTCTGCCCCTAGAGAGGAGAGCCGGACCCCGAGGGGCAAGCGGAGGGCCAGGCAGGGCGGCCGTGGGCTCCCCTCCTGCTGCAGTCAGCTCCAGGACAGCTGTGTCCTGGTAGGCACCTCCTGGGCAGCTGGGGGGGATTGCTGGGGGAGGGGCCACCCTTCTTCCTCCCCATCCTGGTCCTGTTGGCAGGGTCCTCTAGCCTTCGGCCTGGCTCTGGGCTGTGAACAACCCACCTCCCCCGCCCCTGCACTCCAGGCCTGACCCCTGGGGAATTGGCTAGGGGCTGACCCTGCTCCCAGTGCCCCTCTCGGGGTCCCGCTGCTGTCCCCACAGGCCTTGCACAACCTGGGGCTGGTGCTGCTCTCGGGGCTGCAGGCCCTGAAGCCTTGGCGCTACGCCCTGAAGCGGATCGGCGGCCAGTTCGGCTCCAGCGTCCTCTCCTAC